CAGGGCAACAGGTTAAATTCTTTAAATTTTGGGCTTATCTCAGAATAAAAATGATATATTTTTCAGCTTCCTGAGACATGCTATCTTAATTGTGGATTGTTACTAAATTTTGTTCAGTGTGGGAGGGGGTCCCTTATGTTTGTATCTGACATTACAAAAGTAAAACATATCCAAAACTCCCCAGAGTTCATGGAACTGGTTTTGCTGTTTTTAACCAATTTCAGCACGATGCAAAAACATTTAAGCAGTCTTTGATGGTGTAAAGAAAGCCCATTTCTCCATTTATTGCATATGCATAAAAGGCTTTTCTAAAGAGATTTTTTGATATTTTATTATTATAAAAATGATAGGGACCTCAATCAAATGGAAGTTAAAATAGTACTATATAAAAAGAACGGGTGTAACCTAAACTGGATCTTGTAGCTTATAAGTGCAAATCTCTGTTACCATTCCATATTCTGATACAAGGAGAAGCAAACATGCTTTATGCAACATGCCCAGCTTGATTCTCATAATGGGTATAACAAGTTTCCCCCTGACCCCTAAAATTTTGCCTACAGCCCCAAACTTTAATTATAGGGCTCAAGCCAGGGGTGCGAATCATATTGCACTCCACCTGTTGTTGGGTTGCAACTCCCAGCAGCCTGCATCAACATAGCCAGTGGTAAGCAATGCTAAGAATTGCAGCTCGAAAACATCTGAAGAGTCACATCATTTCCACCCCTGGCCTAAATCCAATTTCTTCATCTCAACTAGGATAAACCCAGTGAATCTATGGAATTTACATAAGTGTTGATTTAGCAATTTCCCATTGATTAAAATGATCTGCTATAGCTGAGACTTGCAATTGGATAGTAGGCAGAGATTATGATCTGCTGCCTAAATGAATGGGACAGAAAATAAAGTCTGTTGAATTTCCAAGGAGATTCAAAAAGAATAGTGCAAAACCCAAGTAAGAAAAGCTTTACTTTTGCACCATTCTTTTTTAATCACCTTGCATGAACCATCTAAACTGAGGACAACAACCACAACATCTTGCAAAATGCAGGCCTATGGCTAACATCATCGTTTTTTACTCTCTTGTATGGTTTTTAACACTTTTGCCTGATGAAGAAGCCAGTAGAACTTGGAAAGCTCGCAACATGTTTATTGTGCATTTTGGTTAGCCCAATAAATGTATCACTGTTTTGAGGATTTTGGATGTTATTGTTGCCTATGGGCCTAAGCAGACGGGCGGCCATGGGCCGCCCTGGGAAGGTGCGCCTCAGGACCGAGGCATCCCCATGCCTCGATCCAGCGGCGCACCGTTGGTGCCCCTGGAAAGGAGCGCTAAAATAGCACTCCTTTCATATGTCACCGAAAGTGCGCCTCAAAACATTGCGGCGCACTTTCGGCGACCCTTCCACCGCAGCGTGTCCGGACGCTCCGGCGGGAGGTTGTCCTTGGAGCGCCGGCCGTGTGGAGGGCCGGTGGCTCCGAGGACGACCTCAGGAGGGGGAAGGGGCGCTGAGAGTGTGGCTGCCCCTCCCCTTCCCTGCGCCGAGAATGGCTTTTGAAGCCGTCTGCCAAGGCCCTATATTACTCAGTTAAGGATAAGGATTCTTAAGGAATTTGATCTTTATGAATTCTTTTTTTGAATGGACCTGATTTAAACTTCATAAAATAAGATAAGGATCAGAATAAAGTTATACAGTACACTGGTTTTTATAGCTGCTCAATATTCTGACACAGATGTATCTACACTGTAGAAATAATGCAGTTTGACACCAGTTGAACTGTCATGGCTCCATACTACAATACCCTGAGATTTGTAGTTTTGTGAGGCACCAGCACTCTTTAGCAGAGAAGGTAAAAGACACCAGCACTCTTGTAAAACTACTAATCCCAGGATTCTATAGAATGGAGCTATAGGACTTAAAGTGGTATCAAACTGCATTATTTCTACTGTGTAGATGCACCCCTAGTTCATGGCTCAAAATGTATATATTGGGGGGAAACTTTTAGAAATTAATAAGAAAAATTGTTTTAAAATATTTACTTGAATATGTGCTTAAAGACAGGTTGCCATGTGGCAAAGAATATACAATCTCCCCTCTGTTTTTGTGGACTTGAGGTCCACGGTTTTGAATATTCATGGAGGGGCGATCTTCATTAAAATCAATGGGGTGCGCCCATAGGGGATGCATGCCCATGCATGCCCATGGGGGCGCATCCCATTCAAGCCTATGGCGAGTCTCCATTTTTGCAGGGGGGCCTCCCAAAATGGATCCCCACAAAAATGGAGGGCTGACTGTATATATTATGGCTTGAGATCACTTTAACTGCAATGGCTCAGTGCTATGGAGTTCTGGAAATGTAGTTTGTTGGGGCACCAGTGTAGAGTTCTGGTGCCCCAACAAACTACATTTCCCAGAATTCCATAGCATTGAGTCATGGCATTAAAGTGATCTCAAACTGGATTATTTCTGCAGTGTGAATGCAGCCTTTGTTGCTTGTTCCGTGTTTGCGTACAGCTGTGGTGTATGTGTCTTTGTGTGCATTTGTCTGTTAAAACAATTAAACATTTTCTTTAGAGTTCAAGTTCCGATCTATTACTTGTTTCGATTATTTATCATCTGAATGAAAGAGATGTCTATGTCTCTTCTTTATGGTCTTGAAGAGATATATTCAGATATGATGAGTTCATGCTTAAACATATGAGAAGGAGTGTTGTGCAGTGGACAGACCGGTAAAAAGCCTAGAGTCCACAATGGACTATAGTTATGCTTTCATTAAGAGGTCTGGTGTTTGTTGCTTGTTTTTCTGTCATAGTCCCTTAGCTTTGATTTAGATACTCTTGGGATTTTGATCTATACCTGGTAATGCTCAATTTGATGTGAATTATGTAAGAAAGATCAACAACAGAAAATAAGGTGAGATGGGTGGCACAATTTCTAACATATTCGCTCTAATGGTATCACTACTGTGGATGTAAATCTTCACTTATTTTGTTCCTGAATAAGGAAAAAAAAATAAAAGTACCTCTTCAGTGTGTGGAATTATGAGAAAGTTTGATGATTTCCCACAATTTGGGACTGCTTTATAAAATATTAATTTGTAGAAAAAGTATTGTGTTGTTGTTGTTTTTCAAAACTGTATACCAAAAGATTTACCTTTTGTGCAAATATAAGACAGCTTTCTGAAAACAAAAATAGTATTTTTCACAAGCTACTATGCTTTTTGCATGTATTTTTAATTTTAAAGAGTTGCATAATATGAAATAGTATTTTAAAATGTGCAAAAAAAATCTTGTACCACATTAAGTCAAATCAAGACACTAAAATTGGTACATATTCTTTATATCCCCAGTCGTTATATATAATTAACATTTTCCCCTGCTAGTTGTTCTACTCCAACTCCCACACCATTTTCTAGTCAACTTCAGTAATATCTTTAATTGCCTATCTTATATTTCAAAGTGAGAAAAGGAATTGGATATAATTTAATTATCCGACATTAGCACAATACTCAGCCAACCTGGCCTGGAAGTAATGTGAATGAAGAGGTGTTTAAAATAGTTCCATAAACTCACATTGTTTAATTTCAGGTTTCTGATTAGGTATTTTTTTAAAACAAAAAACACAGTTTCTTGTGGACATTAGCCCCATCTAGAGGCAGAATGTAATGTTTCTGGCAATTGTATTGCTTGGCAATACGGTTGATCTAACAGGAGGGATGGAGAACATTGAAGGTATCCATAAAGCTGAAAGATTCAAGGCTAAGGCAGAATGCTGTGTTTCAAAAAAGAGGGGATTCCTGTTTCTTTAATAATCCTCAGAAAGGTGGAAGTTTAACTATTCAAATTTGAAAATAGCTGTGTACTGAGCTACATTTCATTGTGATCTCTTTTCCCATTGAATTGTGGTCAATTTAATAAGGATAATTTTTCAGTCTTTTTTTTTAATGTATCTAGTTTCAGGAGGTACATTCACTTGTTGGTTGCCTGGACACATAATGTTATCATTGCAATATGTTATTAAATTAAATGTTTGCAGATGAAAATGTTTGATTTGTTAAGTTAAATTTGTATGTGAAAGCCAGACCTTCCCCCCCCCCCCCCCCCCCCACTTTTGTCAAGCTACAGTGCCACAACTGGAAGAGTTTCCCTGGCAAAACGTAGGTTGGGCTGGCCAAAGTAAAATCCTCCACATATTGTTGAAAAGCAACTATCAATCTTCCTCACCATTGGTCATTCTGACTAGGGCTGATGGGTGCTGAATTCCATTACCAACTTATGTAGGAACACAATGAACCCACCTCTGGTGAAAGCTCATAATCTAGCAAATTGATACCTTCTTGAGAGAAAGGTTGAGGTACTTACAAATTCAATCATAGACTACAAAGTATTAAGAGTTATAAGGCAAGGAGCCTTACAGACTGGTTGTTGTTGTATGCCTTCAAGTTGTTTCCAAGTTGTTGTTTCTGACCTATCACAGAGGTTTTTTTGGGCTGACTGCCTGTGATTCCTCCAAGATCATCCAGTGGGTTTCCGTGACCAAGCAGGAAATCAAACTCTGATCTCCAGAGTCATAATCCAGCTTCTTGCTTAGGTCTAAATCCAATTCCTAGTCATGAGTGGACTCATGAAATCAATAAAAACTTTATAAATTAGCACTCTTGTGAACTCCATTGAGAACTGATAAAGAGTGGCTTTGGGACAACTACTGTGAAAGCAGAAATATCAAAAAGAGTATTGGAAGTGAGCCAAGCCAGAGACAGCAAATCAAGTAAAGTCATGTCAGCTTGTCTTTCATCACACACAGAGAAGTGAATATGTCATATGGAAATATACACAAACAGAGCTGTTGTTGTTGTTGTGTGCCTTCATGTCACCTCTGACTTATGGCAACCCTGAGGCAACCCTGTCATGGAGTTTTCTTAGCAAGATTTGTACAAAGGAGGTTTGCCATTGCCTTCCTCTGAGAGCATATGACTTGCCCAAGATCATCCACTGGGTATCATAGCTGAGCTGGGACTCAAACCCAAGTCTCCAGAGTGATAGTCCAGCAGTCAAACCATTATGCCACACTGGCTCTCACACAAAGGGAGACAACATGCCAAATTCAAACATATGCAGCCCACATGCAAGAATATGCTATTCATCATATAGCAGGTGATAAGAAATGCACTGAAAAATACATGGTTGCAGCAGCGCTATCATAAAGATAAGCTTTTGAATCTTTCTCAATCCAGCAAAAGCCATTTTATTTTAGGAAAGTAGCTAAACTTCAGTTGCCAAAAATGAATTGCATTTTTGAGCCTTGAGTGATCAGTGGAAACTTTGGAATATGTTCTCTTTAAGGGTGCATAACTGCTGCCCCCATAACAACAAACATGTCATATTATAGTTGGAACTTCTAATGGAAATAATGTGTGCATTTTTGGGTGAGCTGACAGAAAGGAGACTATTTTTCAGTTTGAACTTGTAGAGTTGTGTTTTCATAAAATCATAGAATTGAAACAGACTACAAGGGTCTTCCAGTTCAACCCCCTGCCCTGCAGGAATACACAAGCAATGCACTCCTGACAGAAAACCATCCAGGTTTTTTAAAAAAGAAAATCTCCAAAGAAGGAAACCGTCATTCTCTGGGGCAGCATGTTCCACTGTCAAACAGCTCTTACTAAAGTTCTTCCTAAAGTTTAAGTGGAATCTCTTTTCCTGTAACTTGAATCCATTGCTCCATGGCCTAGGCTCTGAAGCAACAGAAAACCAACTTGCTCCATTCTCAATATGGCACCCCTTCAAGTATTTAAATATGGCTTCATATCATCCCTTAACCTTCTCCTCTCTAGGCTAAATATACCCAGCTCCCCAAGTCTCTCCTCATAGGGCATGGTTTTCAGATATTTCACTATTTTGGTTGCCCTCCTCTGGACATGCTCCAATTTGTCAACATCCTTCTTGAACTGTGATGCCCATAATGGGACACAGTGTTCCAGGTGAGGCCTGACCAAAGCATAATAGAATTGTACTATTACTCCCCTCGATCTAGACACTATACTCCTATTAATGCAGCCTAAAATTGCATTGGCTTTCTTAGCTGGCACACCACATTGCTGAATCATGTTCAGCCTGTGGTCCACTAAGACTCCTAGATTCCTTTTGCATGTGCTGCCATCAAGTGAGGTGTCACCCATCCTATATCTGTGCATTTATTTTTTACTTTCCAAGTGAACTATCCTACATTTTCCCCTACATTTGGAATGTAGCTCCTCTATGAAAAATTCTTCTAGGGCAATTTTTTGATATTGAAGATATTTTTTGGACTTTTTAATAATAGAATGCTGAAAAAACACTCAGTGTGGCTATGGATTATTCTGTGATATAGGTAAGACATGTCTGATTTCAAATAAATGCTGTGTTCATACAATATCCATCCTCAACACATTAATGCCTACTATATTTGCATGGTTGTGTGACAGTCTTATGACCAGTAGCTGCTACTGAAACCTATTTTGAATACTGGAAAAGGTCACTTGTATGCCATCCACAGATTAATTTGGACATAATTTGTAGTTTCCACAAATTAATCTCGGGGGGGGGGGCATGTTCAAAATGGTCTTAAAAGATTCTTTCCTCTATTATCATGTTCTTTTCAAAGATGCTATAAATGTTGCAGTTTTGACATTACAATTTCATACTACATTTGGGCAAGGAGCACTTCTGTATCTTTCTGAAAGTGATGAGAGAAACAGCCATTCACTTGACATTGGAATCAAGGGTATTCCAAAGCTGACACCTCTGTTATATCGGCACCAGGGAAAGGGGAAAAAGCTATTACAATAAAACCCATCAAGTTGAGATTCACATGGGCTGTTTCTCACTACTGTGTTCCTATAACACAGCCAGGCTGACAGTTTGGAGCTCCATCCTGCTTTTTCAGTGTGACGCACAGGGGACAAAAGTAAAACCTCTAGCTTCTGGCTGTCAGAATGATAGAAGTAGAAGAGCATTGCCGCCTAAGGGTGAAAAAGAGTAGAGGAGGTAAACAGATGCACATTGATATTAGCACTTTTCTAGATCTGGTTTTAACAGTGGTGATCGGGATGTGTTCTGTTTGGTTGTGGGGAGAAAGGGCAGAGTCATATTAGAATGACAGAGTTTGAAAGAACTGCAAGGACCAACTAGTCCAACCCTCTACCATGAAGGAATACATAATTCCTAGAAAGATGTCCTTCAAATCTTTGTTTAAAGACCTCTGAAGAAGGAGAGATGATCACCCTCCAAGTCACTGTCGAACAATTCGAGTAAATACGTTTTTTCTAGTGTTAAGGTAGAATTTTAATTCTTCTATTTTGAATCCATTGGTTTGTGTTGTAGCCTCTGGAACAGCAGATAACAAGCTTGCTCAATCTTCTGTATGACATCCCTATGGATAAAGATGGCTATCATGTCACCTCTCAGTCTTTTCTTCTCTAAACTAAACAAACCCAATTGCCTGCATCATTTCTCATAAGACTTGGTTTCCAGACCTTTGATCACCTTAGTTGCCCTTCTCTGGACACATTCCTTCTTGAACTTTGGTGCCTAGAACTGAATACTAGATGAAGTCTGATCAAAGCAAAATAGAGTAGTTGCTACTCTATTTTAATATTTTTCTTGGTTTGGACACTATGGTCTTATTAATGCAACCTAAAATTGCATTGGCTTTTTTGGCAGCTGCATCACAGTATTGACTCACATTTAGCTTATGGTATACTAAGGCTGCATCTGTACTGCAGAAATAATGCTGTTTGACACAACTTTAACTACCATGGAGCAATGCTATGGAATTCTGGGGTTTGTAGTTTACTATGGCACAGGAGCTCTCTGACAGAGAAAACTACATATTTCACAAAACTGCAAGTCCCAAGAATTCCACAGTATTGAGCCATATCTATTAAACTGATATCAAACTTCATTATTTCTACCGTGCAGATTCAACCCAAGGCTTCTGGATTTTTTTCACATGTACTGCTTTAAAGTCAGGTGTCCCTGTCCTATATTTGTGAATTGCAGTTTTGTGAAGTCGTAGGCTTTCATGGCCGGCATCCATAGGTTTTTGTGGGGGATTTTCGGGATGGCCACACAAAACATGGCCACACAGCCCGAAAAACCCACAAAAACCTATAATTGCATTTTTCTTTCCTAGATGAGGTAAAGGTAAAGGTTTTCCCTTGACAAGTTTGTCAAGTCATGTCCAACTGTAGGGGACAGTGCTCATCTCCGTTACTAAGCCGAAGAGCCGGTGTCATCAAAGACAACTCTGTGATCAGGCAACCAGCATGACTGCACAGAACTCTTGTTACCTTCTCGCTGAAGTGGTATATATGTATCTACTTGCACTTTTACATCCTTTAGAACTCCTAGGTTGGCAGAAGCTAGTGACGAGAGCTCACTCCGTCACGTGGCATTTGGGCCTTGAACTGCTGACCTGCTGATCTTGCAATCATCAGAGTCAGTGGAGATTATCCCATTCCAGATGAGGCCAGCCCAGCACAGAATATGGGGAACTATTACTTCCCTCTACTTGGAAACTATTCTTCTATTAATGCAGACTAAAATAGATTTCACCTTCTTTACTGTAGCATCCCACTACTGGTTCATGTTCAACATCTGAAATACAACCAACAGGATTTTAACCATTTTGTGCAACAAACTCCTTCAGATTTCCAAAATGTGTGTGTGTAGGGGGGGCTTTAAAAGCAATCAAAGACTTCTTACATGAGAAAATAAAATAATCAAAGATTCACATCTCAATAAGGTAATTTGTATTGGACCCACACTTGATCACTAACTGCAAAATCAGGTCTCTATCAGTTTGGAAGGGGTGTTGTTTAAAGATAAGAGCAGTATTAAAACAGAAAATATGCGGACAAGTGTTCATCCTGAATATGCAGCATTTATAACTGGATTACTCTCAGCAGTTCTTCGGGCTAAATAGCTATACAGTAATTACAGTGTAGGCAAATTTAGCTCATAAACCCATCCATGTTTATGATGATTAAGATCCTTCTCTTTCCCTGCACCCCACCCACATTTATGTCAGTGCAATGAAAAAACAGGAGTCTTGTTGATGAGCCAGTCGCAGCAAATCTACTGAGGAAAAGTAGCAAAGGGAGCTTTGGAGTGTGTTCTTGTGTTTGTCTTTGCTTTGAACGCTGAAGCTGAAATGACACTGACCATAAAAGTAGGTTGGTTTTCAATTCTGTTACTTCAACT